CACTGCTTTTTCATAGTTCTGGAGCCTGGGAAGTCTAAAATCAAGGTATGAGAAGATTTGGTGTCTGGTGAGGACCTCCTTCCTCGTAGACTGCTGTCTTCTCAGTGTAACCTCACGTGGCAGAAGGGGCAAGGGCTCTCTCTTGGAATCTCTTTTATAAAGGCACTAATCCCATTCATGACGGCTTCATACCAGATCACCTCCCAAAGGTCCCACCTGCTAATACCATTACCTTGAAGGTTAGGATTTCAACATATGAGTTGTGGGGTGATACAAATATTCAGCCCATGGCACCCCCCAAAATTCATGTCCTTCCCAGGACCTCGTAATAAAAACTTATTTGGGAAGAGAATTGTTGCTGATGTAATTAGTTAAGATGAGGTCATACCAGAGTAGGGTGGGTCCTTAATGCAATTTGCCTGGCATCCTTATTAGGAGAGACCCACAGACTGGGACACAGAGAAGAAAGCCATGTGACAACAGAAGCAGAGAGGGGAGTGATGTGTCTACAAACCAAGTATACCAATGATTTCTGCCAATGCCCATAAACTAAGAGGAAGGCATGGCACAGATCCTTCCTTGGTGCCTTCAGAGAGAGTGTGCTGCTGCTGACGTCTTGGTTGGGACTTTTAGCCTCCAGAACTGCTAGAGAATACCTCTGTTGTTTAAAGCCACCAGCTTGTGGTAATTCATCATGGGCAGCCCTAGGATATGAGTACAGAAGACGCTGATATTGGTGGTCCTGATACAGCACTTTAAGAACCACCCATTGAAATTAATTAGATCATCTCCTCCTTCAACTCCTATTTCTCCTTACAGTGTCCATGATGAATTTTCTTTCCAAAATAATTTCTATTTGCATCTGCCAGCACCTTCTTAATTCCCTAAGAAGAATTTTCACCAGCTCCTGGTTCCTTAATACTTCCCTGATTCTTGTTCCTGATCTTTTTAACCCCATGTAATATCCATGGGGGCTCTTTCCAGCTATATTGTGGTAAAATGGGATCTCTGATTCCTCCATCCTGATAGGGAATTGTTACTTCATGTGGCTGGACTTCACACACTCTCAGAAGAGAAAGACACAGGTAGCAGGAAACCGTTGCAAGAGCCATCAGGGAACTGGAGAGATGGGGTGGGAGTGAGGGGATTTTGGCTTCAGGAAGACAAGCATTAAGAGGGATTTATCTGCCTTCAAATATATGAAGTGTTACTGTGCATAAGATGCAGACAGCCTGCTTTCCATCTCCTCTGAGAATGAGCCAAAGGAAGGCAGGCTTAGGGAGAAGAACTTTGAGTGGACAGAAAGAATTTTCTGAGGTTGAAGGTTTTAAGTCACTGGAATGTCAAGGGAGAATTTTAAGTAAGAGTAGACACCTCTTTATTAAATTTGATTTAGGTGGGGCCCTTCCTGGAGCCAGGCAAATGAACAAGATAGACTTCGGAGGTGCTTTCTGCTTTTTAAGTCTGCAAACTCGCAAAAGCAGAAAAAAATGTCCATTTGGGAAAAAAATTAACTCAAAGGAAAGAACACCTCTCTGTTGATATATTTGTGATCTTAGCTAAGGAATCTGCCTGAATTTTTTCTTTGATATTTTTAATTGAATACCTGTAGAATACCCTTTTGTGTTAAGGAGTAAGATTGGCTAGAAGGTTTGCTTTTTAATCTCTCTGGTATTATCTAGGCTTTTCAAATCCAACGTTTCACCTGCAGGATGACAAACGTAGCACATTTGTTTTCTATTGCAACATAACCAATTATCACAAATTTAGCAGCTTAAAACAGCATAGTTATTCTCTCATAGTTTGCATAGGCCAGCAGTCTAGACACGACTTCTGGGTCCTGTCCTCAGGATCTCACAAGGCTGCCATCAGGGTGCCAGTGGCCTGTGTTTCTTCCTGGAGTTTAGGATCCTCTTCCAGGCTTTCATAATTGTCAGCCGACTTCAGTTCCTTTCAGCTGGAGGACTGAGGTCCCTACTGTGTTGCTGGCTGCCAGCTGGGGAATGCTCTCAGCACCTGGATTCCTCACAATTCTTGGGCCCTCTCACAACATAGCTGCTCATTTCTTCAAGGCCAGTGGGAGAATCTCTCCCTCTGTAATATGATGTCACTCTCATGAGTGACATCCCACCACCTTCTTCATACTCCCTGTTGGCTAGAAGCCAGCTACAGTTTCTGCCTGCACTGGAGGGAAGGGATGATTGAGGCTGTGACTCGCTGTGGCCATCCTAGGACGCCGCCTGCCACGGGTGGTTGGGAAGGCTGCCTAGCTGCCAGGGAGGGCTGGGTCCAAAGCTTCTACTTTATCTGGGATTCATCTGCTTAGATAAATTTAAATACAGAAATGAATTCCAAATGGAACACAGGAAAATGTGAATGATCCCAGTTTTACACTCTAGTTGTGCCCTAAAGCTCCATTAGGCAGTCAGTTGTTGGAATTTATGTTTTTTAATGAAAGACACACTATTCAAGTTAGTGGTTTTCTACTCTCTGCTTTTTCTAGATAATATAGCATAAAAGGTAGACCTGGGAGCCAGACTGCCTGGGTTCAAATGCTGGCTCTGATATTAACCATGCAGTTTTGCAAGCCATTCAGCATCTCTGTGCCATTTTCCTCATGTACTAATATAAATGGTGTTAATAATAGCACTGACTTAAATGGCACAGTAGTGAGGATGAAATTAGTTAATATGCGTGAAACGCTTAGAATAATGCCTGGATCCTCATAAACACTGTCTATGCGCTCACTAGTATTTGGGTCAGGACAGCAGCCATCACATGCCATCCACATGCGTGGCACTCCCATGGGATTCTTAGGATTCTGGGCATTGCTTGGCTTGTAGCTATGGCTCTGTTCCTTTCTCTTCTACTCAGGGAAGCATTTTGGAATGCTGAAAAAGAAAGTAACCTTACTCTAAGGGTAAGTCTCAATGAGGACTGATTTTTAAAAATTAAATGATCTATCCATTTCAGCTCTCATAATGGTAATAATAATGACAGCTGAGCTTATTGCTGTCAAGTCATGATGCTGTGACATGAGCATCCCATTTGGTCCTCACAACACCTCATAAGTAGGTACGATTATCCCCTTTTTTATAGTGATGGAGCCTGAGGCTTATTTGCTTAACCAAGCTGGTCGGTGGTGAAGCCTTAGATGGAAAAATGTGAAGCAGATGTACTCCGGAACACTCCATCTTATGAGCTATTCTGTAGCATTTCCCCATTTTACTGCTGGCAACTCACCTTTCAACTCATGTGCTGTAAAATTACAGTCAAGAAATGGTGATACAAATGACACAAAAGGGGAGAAAAACTGTGGGTTGTTTGCTTAGTTGGGAAGCATTGTAGTTGTAGACAGAGGGAAGCAATTCAGAAGATATACATACTAGAGGAGCACCCACTATGTTTCAGGCACTGTGCAGTGTTCCTCACTCACCATTGTCTTACTTGACCCTCAGAAACACTGTGGAAGCCTATTATTTTCTTATCTTCTTTTTGCAGATGAAGACATTGAGGCTCAAAAGTTGCTAGTGAGAAGCAGAGCCAAGAGTCAGATCCAAAATCCCTCTGGCCCTGAAGCCTGCATTGTTTCCACTGCGCAAAGTTGTCTGAATGGTGAGCAATAAAAGAGAGAAGATACTAACATGGTACAGATTATTCTGAGTGGGGAGAGAGAAGGCCAGGGGGAACCACAAGTGCCCTGGGCAGACAGCAGGGGGCCCCATTAGCCCCGACTAGCTAGGTTGCACGTCTGATGGGTTTGACGTCAGGGCTCTGCTGAGTCCCAGTTTGACCAGGTACCACTGCTGTAGCACAGGGCAGATCACTCCAATGCCTGCAGCATCCATTTCTCCATTTTCAAATAAAACTTGCCTTGTTTGAAGGACAAAGTGAGATAATTTTTGACAGCACTGGGTAGATGCAATAACATGCTTTCATTTAAACAGATACTTTAAGTGTGAAGGTAGAGCGGAGAGAAAAAAGATCAGCTGTGGGTGGAGAGGGGGAGATGCTGTTGATGAGAAGCAAGCACTACCCATGAGATATTATGAGCCTTTGCAGAAGAACACAGTCCAATCCTGGAGTCGCAGACGTCACTCCAGAATGTCACTGGAACATTTTCTCAGTTCACTTTTAGAACTCAGACAATAAGTGAATAAACAGAAAACTTCCTGATAAACAGAAGTATTTTAAACACCTGATGGAGAAAAGAGCCTGGCGACTGGCAGTGAGTGGGTCACACCATTAGTTCCCAAGGGCAAAAGCTGAGCAGAATGGATTTGGAATTATATTCCTGATTCAACTTCTGGTTCAACAACTTAGCTAAAAAATTGGGCCCAGTCTCCTCGAGCCTCTGTTTTCTCAGTTCTAAGATGGAGAGAATAACCTTTAATGTGTTTGAAGTGATTAGTTAGGCAGTGCTATGGTTTTGATTTTTGTCCCTTCTAAAACTCATGTTGAAAATTTCCAATGTGGCAGTAGTAAGAGGCAGGGCCTTTAGGAGGCGACTCGGCTCTGAGAGCTCTGCCCTCGTTTATGGATCAATCTATTCATGGGTTAATGGGTTATCATGGGAGTGGGACTTGTAGCTTTGTAAGAAGAAGAGACCTGAGCAAAGATGCTCAACCCCTTCATCATGTGATGCCCTGCACCTCCTTGGGGCTCTGCAGAGAGTCCCCAACAGCAAGAAGGCTCTCACCAGATGAAGTCACTCAACCTTGAATTTCTCAACGTCCATAACTCTGAGAAATAAATTCCTTTTTCTTTTTAAATGAATTATCCAGTTTCAAGTATCCTGTTATAAGCAACAGAAAACAGACTAAGACAGGAAGTGATTCAATTAGCACCATGCATGGCATCTATAAAATGCTCATTAGTGGTACCTGCTGCTGCTGTTTCTACTACTTCTGCTGAATTATTACTATTAAAATAAGAATAAAACCTGAAACAAAAACATGGTCACGTTAGAGTAATACTATTTAGAGAAGTTTTTCTGATCTGAGTCCCAACCTTGGATTCCAACATGCAGGAGACTAAGGAGTGGGGGGACCAGGCAGAAAGAGACATGCCCCAGATGTTTTGCTTAGCTATTCTGGCACTGGAAACAGTATGGGATGGAGAGATAATTTTGAGTTTCAGGAATAACTGGGTAATGACCTTAGAAGAGAATCTATGTGTCATCTCTCAGGTGCAATGGAGGTTAGCAACAATGACACCAGCCATGGATGTGGGGTGGAGATGGAGGTGGAGGGTATCCTTTCCTCTGCATCTGTCAGCAGGCCTGCAAGAGGATTTGGCAGTGTGTGCAGGGGGTTAGGGCACAAGTTCTGGAAGCAGGTTTGGTACACAGGGCCTTAGATAATTCATTTAGCCTTTCTTTACCTTAACTTTCTCCTCTCTAAAATGGGGAGGAGAGGGTTGTAATACTGTTAACCACACAGACTTCTGCAGTGATTCAGTGAGGCAGCACGTATATGAAGGCCTTAGTAATGCTAGACACACAGGAAGGCCTCAAAAATATTAAGCCTTATTATAGCTAACCCTATTATTCAAAGGAAACAGATTTAGCAAAACCATAATAGACAAATAAAAACTAGAAGATATTCAATCTAGGTCTAGAATTGTGATTCCACTTTGTGAGTGTCCCTGTCCACCTGGCTTTCTTGAAGCTAAGAATTCTCTCCATGTTCAGTCATGCATTTCTGTCCATATTGTCATTGAAACACATATTGTTATAAAAGTGCATCCAGAAAAGGTATTTTTAAGGTGCCCACATTTTCTATCTCCTGACAGTGGAAGAACTTTGAATGACTTTAGGGGAAATTTTAGGACATTGGGAAGGTCAATTGGCTTTTCAAGATTATAATATCATTACAAAAGGGTCCCATCTGACAAACCAAGAATCACAATATATGAAGCACATTCACCCAAAGCTGAAAAGTATTAGTTTCTGATTCTTGTAGACTCCTAAGTGTTCTAAATGTGATGTACAGCTGAAAATGAAGTTTAAAAGCTGATTTCAGAAGAAACCATTAAGCATATCCTGAAAGAAATCAGTTGATGTCACCTATTTGGGAAAACATTTCAGCACAGAGAAGGCTAAAATAGAATGATTGGCCTTTTGCAAAAAGCTCATTTTGCAGGGGTCAGAAGGAGAAGCAGAAAGGCAGTTCTAGCAATGGCTTGAAATAAGCCTTTGGGAAAACTTCAGGCATCCTGAACCTTATGAAGAGCTTATCTAGAAAGAGAAAAGAATATTATTATCCCTGGCTTTCAACAGAGTGCAATTAACCAAGATGATCAATTGGTTTTGTTCGCCTCAGGCATGAGAGTGAAGGGCGTAACCCCTTCCCTATGTCTCCCCACCTTCCCACTGCCCGCCCCAATTTGAGCAGGCACAAGATTGCCTGTGAAAAGTGCCATCAAAGCTTCAAAGACTCACCACAGGTTTCTGATGGATCACCAGTTTCTGACCTCTGGTCAAACTCTCCAGTGGGTGGTTTGCCTCTTACCCACAGACTATCCACGTTCCCAACTGGGTTTATGGATAGCGGAGTTGGCAACTTTACACTCATCAGATGGTTGTCTTATAGGAAAAACCAGCCAAAATATATATATTTTGGGAAGCTGTCGTGCCAGAGGGTTAGGGCCGTACAACATGGCTCCCAAAACAGTTTAAGAAGAAAGTCACCCTGGAGCAGTATTGCTAGATTATTAATATGTCTACTGCTACCCAATGGTACTCTTTCTTTTTTTGAAATTTAAAGCTATAGTAGTCCTAAAAAACCTCCCATTGAGAAAAAAATGTTGAAAAGGCAGAAAGGGACTAGAACACAAAGGACCCACGGGAGGGAGTGGGAAGGACACATCTGAAGCAGTAACTCACAGCGTGAAGGTGCTGGGCCAGGTCTGGAAAAGATGCCCTGCCCAGAGAGAGAGCAGGGCACAGCAGGCCCCCAAAAAGGTCAGCTCCAGTGGCCATGCCCTCCACCAGCAGCCAGCTTGCAAGGACTCTCCATCCCTTCTCTTCCTCTTTTTATCCCTGGCTCCCATCCTACCTAACCCTACTAGAAAGATGAAGAAATAATTAGAAATGTGTTCGGCTGTGAGTAACTAAAAGCCCACTTTATCGTGGCTTACACAAAGGGGGGTCTATTTTTCTCAGAGTGTATTAAGTTTGGATATTTCCTGACTTTTGTCAGTGGCTTGGTCTTGGCTAAGGTATTTGTGATGCCCTTGGCTTTCCCAACATGCCTGGTACCTTATGATCATAAAGTGGCTGCTGTAGTTCCAGCTATCAAGTCTGTCTTCAAGGCACACAAAATGGGAAGGAGACAGGAAGGGACCAGTCCCTATTTGCAGCACAGTAAAACTTTCCATAAGTGACTAGATTTCTGCTTATGTCACATAGTCCAGTACAAAATCTCATTACTTTCTTGGACACCAGCAAGGCTGGGAAAATGGCGGCAAGGTAGAAGACAATGGACATTAGATTCAATCAGTCAGTAACGTTTACCACAAAAGGCAATGCAGAATCTATTCCAAATGAGAGATCTCCTACAGGAGATTTCTGGGCTGCATCCTGGTTGATCTGATAATCATCCAGACTAGGGAGCCACTGGCCTATGTAGGAATATCTGCATTCCCAACGAACTAGCTGGGGATTAATCCTGTAGACACCGAGTACTTGAAAATTAGAACATCTGACCTCCTTAATCTTTCCTGGAAGGAAGTAAACTAAAATTAAGTGAGCCAGTGGTGTGCATACACTGTTCTGCAAGGTGATAGTATCTGGAGACTGGAGAAAGAGCCATTATACTTTTATAGGAGGTTGTAAGACAATAGAAACCGAGCTTGTTAACCAATACAGCCAGTGCTCAACTTACAACCATGGTTGGGACCGCAGACTATCACCGGTCGTAACACGATTTGGTCATAAGTTGAGTAGGCTATATGTACAGTTGAAATGGTGCATGTGGAGATGGTAGTGCTGCCGGAAGCTGGTCCACACTGTCGTACGCCCAGCTGGGCAACATTTGCGCTGCCAGACGCAGAGCAGTTGTGGCTAGCGATTGTGGTCGTAAAGTCGAATGGTCGTAAGTTGCATAGGTGGTAAGTTGATCAATACCTGTAAATAGATGAGAAGCCTTGGGGCAAAGGTCTTCTGTTTGGTAAAAATCAGACAAATGAGCAGGAAGGACTCACCCTGAAACTCTCCAACATGCAGAATTGGAGAGTGAGTTAGGTCTCCGGGAACACATAGCTGAATGATAGTCTCCTTCTTAGGACCATAGATGGTAATAGTCCTTCCCTCTTCAAGCGGCTCCTATATGCAGAGTGTAGGCACTTCACTTGGTTATAAGAAGCTTTAAGCTGCACCCAGCTGCCTCCCCTTCCCCTTCTCTGTCTCTGGAACAGATGGAGTTAAACTCTAGGTTGATTCCTTGCCCAGAGCACATGGTCCTATCCTTCTTGTCTCTGCGTATGAGAGATTTGTTACCAAAGATCTGAGCTCTAAGCCCTCATCAAAAGCAACAACTCAGGGAGGTGCTGACCAAAGCCCGTGGCTCATTTTAATAGTGTCTTCTGGGCCCGCTGGGAGGAACTATATGCAAATAAGCTGAGAAGGACTTCAGTTACCTC